TAATTAATATTTATTTAACCCTTTATTTTGCCAGAAAGTACCCAGTGAGATACGAGATCTCGTCTCTTCTTGTCAAGACAGTTTCAAATTATAAATGAAGAATATTCCTTAATTAGATTTGTTAATGTAACTAAGTGGGAGTGTTATAAAAACTGAGATACTGTACGTACAATCCATATTCACTCATAAAGCCACATATGGACGGCAGAAATATTGCTTATGGTGTATTTTTACTAGATTATAAGTCAAAAATTCCAACCTATTTCGATCCAGTTTTTCTCTTTCCTTCTTTGGTGAAATGATTTTTATACTTTTCTTGTTACCAATTAAATCTTCAAATCCCTCATTGTTAAGTTTTTTTTAAGCATTAGCTCAATATAACTAAATCACCCCTGAGACAGCATCAGCACATTTAGTCTTTCCCTTTTTTCTTAATTTTCCACAGTGCTGAAAAGAGTCACTTTTTTCATTAACGTCTATCAAATGAATGCAACATAAGGACGGTGACACAAAGACACGAGTTTATCACGAACAATGAAGACTTGATGTCCTATTGGTGTTTAAATAAAAAAAATAAAAAAACAGTGACGGACTGCGTGTTTTTGTCTCCCCCCTCCATCGCCGACACATATCCTATTCCACATAGAAAAGTGTCACATATAACACACGGTTATTAGAAACAGATGTTGATTTTATCACCGGTGTCTGTGGCTTCTCTCACAACGTCGACACAATGTCATATGCGCTGGGATACCAGGACACATTTGCATGACATACACACCTGTCCTCCACAATCCAACACGCCGCGGTAACACAATAGGCAAGTAGAAACTCACGAGAGTAATGTTTCATTACACGAGGAACAGAAGGTGAAAGCGAGGAAGGGTAGCCAGGGAGGAGCACGGATGCATAACTTAAGTAAAAGCCATCGAAACCCATATTTGTTTACAGATTTGTTTAATAAGGAAAAATATATGCAAACAAATGAATTTGCCTGTGGTTATAACTGTGTATTAAGATCATCACTTACAAGGCCAGGCCTCCTCTAGCCCTCTACAGTAGCCATCCATCATGCATTATTAAGGAAAATAGAATCTGCATAAAGCAGCAACAATGCCTTGAAGAAGTTTATTTATTTATTTTGTCTTTTTAGGCACTAAGCAGCAGATCCTCAGTCGCTGTTAGCTAATTACAAAGCATTTGATCTCTATGCCCCCAGGATGTGCAATTACAACCTTGGTTGAAAATTAGGAAAATATTTCACAATTAAAAATAGTGGGATGAAGACGCTCTGACAAAGCTAATGGCGACATCTCACCTGTGCGTGCATGTGTGCGTGTTAAATGTGGATTTTCGGTGCTGGACTAGACATGAGGCTGTTTTAACAAAGCCAATGCCCGGCAAACACAGCTGACCTCGCTGGAGGGAAATAGCAAAAAAAAAGAAGAGAATATACCATCTCCCAAAGCTGAAGCAGACATGCCATACTTGCTGAATTTTAACTAAAAGAAAGTTCTAGTCAAGGGGTGATTTAGCAAAGTCGCAGCACTCTTGTAGCTCCAGTACCTGTAGCTCCAGTTCTGCTCCGCTGCTATCTACGCTTAGATCACACAGGCGTCGCCACTTCTTTCTGGCATATCTCTGCGCATATCACGCAAGGAAGACAATTGTCATTACCGTTTTATTAAAATGTGTCCTATCAGCAACATTTGCACATCGCACATCTAACCTTCCTTTCTTCCTTCCTTCTTTCTTCCCCTCAAATTCTAATCATCATTCCCCTCCATCACTAGCTGGGTCTAATTCCCTCTCTTCCTTGGTTTGCAAAGGACCTCTGCTTTCATCCTCGAGAAGGGCTCTAATTCGAAGTGCGACGCTGAATAAAGAAGGGGGGGAGGAGAAAGAGAGAGTGATATGGAAAGACAGAGCAGCGGAGGAGACGTTCGGGTGTCAATCAATCCGGCGCGAGGGGCTACAAGGGCCCGTGACTAGGGTGCGTTTGATCTGTGTCTTTCAAAGAGAGAACAGCAGGAAGGGCCATCACAGACGATTTGCCTCTCGCTGCTGGCCCTGGTGCCACTCTGACAGAGAGCAATCACAAGCAGGTTAATTCAACATCTACCTTCTTAATCTTTTCTTCCCTGTCTCTTTCTTTTGGTCTCGTTCTGTCTACTTAGATGAAGAATTGCTCCTTCTGCTACCACCTCCTTTTCCCCTCTTTTGAAAGACTGAGAGATCACAAGTGTGCTTTCAGTGCCCTTTCAAATCCCTCTATAGTCTGAGGGCTTTGGTCAGGTAAAGAGTTGTTGATTTTCCCGAACTCCTACAATGCCGTATTTATGCGTCTCTATCAGAGGGCCATGTTTCATAAAACGGTAATAGATTTATGATGGCAGAGTGGGATTGGAAGTTTCCTTCAAAAAACTTTGCAATGGAAGACTTTTTTTTCTGGGGTACGAAACACCATCAGATGCATTTTTAAATATTTTTCTGTCATTCTTTGGTTCACATCTGTGGTGTGCCGTGAGCTGAATATGAATGAGAGTGTAACGATGACATCTTGAAAATATGCTGCTTAACTTGACTGAAAGAGGAGGATGTGTTCCCTCCAGATGACTGAAAGGCGACGCACATTCCAGACAAGATCTGACCTCCAGCAACTCTGAAATCCGAAACCCACACTGTATGAAGCCTGCTATAGCACCGGCTTGGACACATAGAGAGAAATGTCCTTTACTTGGCATAAACGTTGTGTTCTCATATGGCTCACCAGGTCATTTGAAGAGAGACAAGGACATAAAATTAAACTGTGAAAAAGTCTTCTCCACCAAAGGTCAGCCATGCATGAGGACAAACAGAGGTGAGGGGATTCTGGGGTGAAAGGGTAAGAAGAGACATAAAGGCATGCTTTGGTTAAAGGTGAGAGGGTACAGAGCATATTGAGGGAGGCGTGTTTGAAAGCAGCTGAAGGTAAAAGGTTGAATAGGGAGGTTAGGAGGTGGAAGAAAAAGAGAATCAAAGACAGAAGTTTGTCCTTAAATTTGACAAATGGAAATCATGGGAAGAATAAGCCTGTTTCAGAAATTCATAACTACAAACTTTTCAAGGACACCATCCAAATCCACTCAAATTCACTAGGAAATACACCACGGCGTCGCCAGAAAGCCAGCATGTCCCTGACTGGCCTTTTCTCCCATGGTGCTCTCCTCCAACTCTAGTGCCTTTATGTAAGGTCAGAGGGATAACAGGATAAAGGCTGTCTTCTCTGCTCCTCTGAAGGACAAGCACTCTGCCGATTGGATTTGGTGGCGTTCAAGGACAAAAGAAAGAACACTGGGATACAAAGGAACCAATAGAGGAGGAACAAGATTTCATCTGTCACTATGGCCTGAGTGATTGGCAGGGATGGCTACAGCAGCAATCTTTGAGCGCTGCCTTTTTGTGGCTGGGTGCCCTCCATCAGCACTGAATAAGAAGACTCGATCCACCGACAAAAAAAGCACTCAAAGAGGCTGGAAGATCAGACCTCCGTGAAATAAAAGAGCATAGACAGGTGCTATAGAGGAAACTAGGTGGTTTAATTCAGCAGAATGACTTCAAATTTTCATTTACAAATTTGTGTGTTTGTGTGTGATTGTGTGTGTGTGAGTGAGTGCACATTAACATGGAAAGCAGAAGAACAGAAAGGCATGTTAGGAAGCACATGATTCATGATGTGAATCATGTGCTATGGCCTTTGCAGTGATTGAACTCAACAGTCGAATGCCTATAAAAGAGTTTTGAAATTCTCTTCATCATCGTCATAACACCGAATGATAAAACATCTTTTGGAAAAAGATGTTTACAAAGATCAATATCTGTGTCTCCTCATCCCCAACCAGTCACAGCAGATAGCTGTCACTCCCAAAGCTGGTTGTGCCAGACCTTTCTTCCTGTTAAAAGGCAGTTTTTCCTTCCCACTGTTACCACGTGTTTGCTTATCAGGAGTCGTTTGATTGTTGGGGTTTTCTCTGTATTCCTGTAGGGTCTTTAACTTACAATATAAAGCAGCTTGAGATGACTGTTGTGATTTGGTGCTATATGAAAAAACTGAATTTAATTGAAAACTGGTTTTCGACCCCTATTCCAAAGACATGGTGAATCACTGTCAAGTCACACTGAAGGTGTTTCGGTGGCACTAAGACCCTCTGCTGGTTTTTCCTTTCATTTGTAATGTATCTCTTTGTTTCCATCCAGGAGCTGGTTAGAAGGATTCATAGATATGGATTCAAAAGACAAATAGGGTGAAATAATGGCACAAGAATAATAAGACGACCTGTGATTTTTATCATGGGTTAAAACCAGAGAAAATGAATTAAATTTCCATAAAACATAATGCTGTGGCATCTTTTTATTTTTAACCTATTTTCTGACTTGTGTATCACATGCTTAAGCTCCGTGTTCAACAAATGCATCCACATGCTTAATGGTAGCCCCGTGACCTCTCTGCCCAGGTTTGGATGCCCCCACATTGCCTGTTTTTAAAGTCTTAAAATGAATTTTTATTTCTTGACTTTTAACTCAGAATGAGTTAAAACTGTGTTTTTTTTACCTTCTATTCTATTATTGTTTTCTGTTTTGGTACTTTGTATAGCACTTTGTTAAACTTGTGTTTTTAAAAAGAGCTTTATAGATTCATTGGAATGGATTAATACTTAATACATAAAAATAACAAAAAAACATCCTTTAACTTTCAGGTAAGCAAGTGGAGCTGCACATCACCAAAGAAAGAAAAAAGGCACTGTTGTTTTTAAATGTAGGGACAGTATGTTCTTAGAAGTCCTTCTTTTTGTGTTTTTGTTTACGGGGCACGGACATTTCAGATGCTGTGAAGGGGGCACTACGGACCAAAGTAGGGGGTACAGACGGATGTCAGGCTAGCTGCCATGGTGCATTAGTATATCCTTGATGATATGGAGACATCTGTGAAACACTTTCTATTTCTTTTAGCAGCACATTACCTGCGTGCAGGTAGGCGAGGTCTGGGTTCTCAATATCAGGGTGATTGTCCTTCAGGTGGTTGCGGAACTCCATCGGAGAGTTGGTGGCATAGTCACATTTGGGGCAGTTGTACATCTTCACGCCCTCGTGTTTTCCCGTATGGAGTATGTGCTTTCGGATATTCTCTGCACAGTTGGATCTAAGTGAGACAAACAAAGATAAAAAGGCTTAATTCCATTTTGGAATTAACAAAAACAAACGTTGGAATTAAAGATGAGAGTCATGAAGGAGAAAACACAAGATCAACACTTGGCAACATTCCCAAAAAAGGTTTGCTGTACTAACATTTTCTTTATCTGTAATGATGTAATGACACACAGACACACATGGGCACACTTCACACAGTAACACGCAATAAAAAAAAATCAAGCTGGGAGAGAGGAGCCATGTTTGGACTACAAGCAGCACATGACTAAAGACTCTTTCATGAACAGCAAACACACTTGTTACAGAAACAATATTTACATTTTGTAGATATGTTTGATATTCTTTCACGCCTTTATATTTTGCTCTGCTACTTTCTTTTCTTATAGTTTTTCAGCTGTTTGTGTAACGGTGCTGGGGACAGCGCCTGCTACGAGACCACTGTGCATCTAGAGGCCCATTGACTGCATTACAAAGATATGTCTGAAGGCATCTGTTATTCAGTATGTATCATTTGCAGCTGTATGAAAGCTATATAGGATTAGTGTTGTATGCTGTGTGTGCCTGAATTTGTGGGTCTCTGGCCAGTCAGATAGGGCAGGGAGCTACTGCAGGGTATACGATGTAACTATGTCAGCCCAGAGAGTAACACACAAACCTCTGCTGATTAATGACGCTGCCTGACCTGCTCCCAGGCTCTATCTAAACCTGCCCATAGACACACACAAACACACTCACACACATAAGTGAAGCTCTGAATGATTAAGACAAACATGCACATACATACATATGGAATACAGACATATAGAAAGGCCAGTTTGAGCCAAAATAAAAACAATAAATCTCTGACACTGCTACACAAGTTCGAATATACAGACATGAATCCGTAAACACACACAAACGCTCGCGCATTTAATGCATCATGCAAGCAAGCATGTGCGGTGTAGAGCACACTTTCGCACACAATCATGTGTTGATGGATGGGGCACTCGTGCTCAGTTTGGACCTGACATTCTCGGACAGTATAATACGCAATTACTCTCCCTTATCACCTTGGCTGGGACAATAAAGCCTCACAGTACCATAGCTCACACCAGCCAAGGAGAGAATTTGTTTTCACTTTTGCAGAGACACCTCTCTCCATCATGGGGGCCATAGTCCAGCCTGGCTCCACTGCGGCCTAGAAAAAAAAAAAAATACAGTGCGGGCCCTCACTGGTGTCTGTTTATGCTGTACAAAACACATAAGGACCAGCCAGCAGTGAACAATGAGGGCTCTTCATGAGGCTCAAGACCATGTTTTGGATGCAGTCTCAACAAAAGAATGAATGAAACACATTTTGAGAGCGTTGACCCAGAGCACTAACAAATAAAGAAATGTCTGTTTGGCCAGTGGATTGCAGAACACTTTACAGACGAGCACTCAGGAGCCACTTTATTACCTCCACGCGGTCAACTGCTCGCCAAAGCAAATATCTAATTAGCCAATCACAAGGCACTTAGATATGGTCGAGACAACCTGCGAAATTCAAACTGAGCATCGGAATGAAGAACAAAGGTGATTTAAGTGCCTTTGGCTACGTCCACACTAATGCGTTTTGTTTGAAAACGCATCGTTTTCTCTCCGTTTTGGCCTCCGGTCCACACTGAGACACCGTTTTCCCTGAATGAAAACGCAGCGTTTTGAAAACGCTCTCAAGAATGCATACATTTGAAGACGGTGCTTATGCGTCGCAGTGTGGACAGCAAAAACGGAGACTTTCGAAAACGATGACGCATGTTAGTCATGTGATGCAGTCATGTGACCAATTAAACAAAGACAGCGGAGGGTTTATACAGCAGTTGTTTTGTTTGCTCTTAATTTGACAGCCATATTAAAGATTAATATCAGTTTGTACATGCTTCAGATAGCTTTCCTTCGAAGTCTTTAATTCTCACTTGCTTTTGCAACTTTGTACTTTTGTATTACTCGCAGCAACAACTCCACCTCATTGTTAGTCCATTTATAAAAACTCTGTGCTTTTCCTCGTCATTTTACCGCGACGTTTCAACGAGCTGGAAAGTAAATAAGCGGCAGACAGAAATGAGGCAGGCTGAATCTTCTTGCATTTCACGCATGCGCAATACTGGAGCCTAAGCGTTTTCGTCCGTTTCAATGTGGACGCACAACTCTGTGAAAACGTCTGAAAACGCTAGTGTGGACGCGGAGCGTTTTCAGACAAAAACGCTGTTTGGTGTGAGTATTTCACAGACTGCTGATCTTCTGGGATTTCCCCACACAGCCATCTCTAGGGTTTACAGAGAATGGTCCAAAAAAAGAAAATATCTATTAAGCACCAGATCTCTGGGTGAAAATGACTGGGTGATGCCAGCAGTTGGAATAGAACAGCCACGCTGAAAGGAAGGCGAACGTAACTCAGCCTCTAATTACAACTAAGGCATACAGATCGCTTTTTTGAATGCCCAACATGTTAAACCTTGAAGCAGAAGGACTAAAGCAGCAGAAGACCACACTAGACCTGTCAGCTAAGAACAGGAAGCTGAGGCAACATTTTCATGGTAGGTTCAGAATTTGGTGTAAACATCATGAAAACCTGGATCCATTTTTTGATCTTCAATGGTACACGTTGCCGGTGGCAGTGCAATAATGTGAGGGACATTTTCTTAAAACACCACAGCCCACCTGAGTATTGTTGCTGACCATGTCCATCCCTTTATGACCACATTGAACGCATGATGTGATGGCTGCTTCCAATGGGAAAATGCACCATGTAACAGAGCTCACTCAATATCACACTAGTTTCTTTAACATGGCAGTAAGTTCACTGCACTCAAATGGACTCCACAGTCATCAGATCTCAATCCAATGGAGCACCTTGGCTGTGGTGGAACAGGAGACTAACATAATAGGCTTAAGGCTGACAAATCTGCAGCAACCGTGTGACGCTGTCATGTTAATATGGACCAAAATCTCTGAGGAATGCTTCCAGCACCTTGTTGAATCTGTACCATAAAGAATTGGGGTACTTCTGCAGGCAAAAGGGTGTCCAACCACGTACTAGCAGCATGTGCTTTATAAAGTGTCTACAGGAACTGACCTTAGTTGTCATTTTCATATTTTATCCAAAAAACTGTCAAAAATTGCTGTGATTACTTTCTTATCAGCCTCATAAGCAAAACAATAACACATTCACAGGCAAATCACGGCCATCTGTTGACTTTTCATTGGCATACGGACAAAAAAAAGAACTTTAAACTGTCTCATGCTCCTAAATTAACACAAATGATGCTGTTAAAAAATGCATTTAATACCAAAAGTGAGCTGATTTCTTATTCGAAAGCGGGAGCATAAATAGATAAAATTTGAAGCGGAGCTAAAAGGTTCTAAAGAGAGCGCGGGTGGATTCCTAGGGGGGCCATGCTATCTCTCAGATATGGTAATGGCGTAATTGTCATATTAAAACAACACAACGTGCGTTTAGGAGTCAGCAGGTGTCACAGTTAGTGAAAGCCCACACCAGCCCTCCTACTATACACTGTATTAATTAGTCCAACGCTGTTTCAACTTCCTCCCCCACCCATGCACTCACCATGGGAATCAGCCATACTGATGCTCATCGGCTACATCACCCCTTCTCTGCCACTTTCTGCTTCTCCCCTCTCTCTCCCCCCTTTATTTAAGCCATTTCCATATTCCTCCTCCCAAAGACCGTATGGTAATGGGAGAGGTGTAATTGAGAGGCGCTTCGTTAGAGGAGATTTAAATGCGCTTCTTTGTGTGCGTTAAGAGTTGTGGGGGGTGCAGGGTCTGTATTTGGATCACTGGTGCTATTTGGATTCTTATTCTGCCAGGGAGGCCCAGTTATCATCATTAATGCCTCTCCCTCCTCCTTCGTCTCTCACTTCACTTTTACAAGGTCGCAAACCTTCCTGCCACTGACAGCGAGCGTGTCGTCCTCAAAGCCGCCGTCGCCTTGAATTGGAAACACTGCTTTAACAGGTAGATTGAAACATGAATGGTGCGGCATTCAATAAACAAAACCAGCCCCACAGTCACGGCGACGTGCAGGATTCAGAGGCTACATATCAATTAGGCCGTTTTAGATGCCACTGTGACTTTAATGAGAAAAAAAGAGAGTGGGAAAAAAAATCCTCCTCTTTGTGAGCGATAAAAACGATTTCTTAAAAATTAGAGTAAAGAAGTTTCGCAGCTTGCATAAACAGCTGCAGAGTAGTCAAATAGACATCATTAATTGACAGCCCAGGACTCACGGTGCAATATCATTAGAATATTTTTACCACTATTTCCCATCTATAATTATCCCCCCTCTATTATCTATCTCTGTCTGAATGGTAGATGAGTGGCATTTGATAGATCATTTACTCCCTGCTCATTTACATGCATTTGAGAAGCAGCCTTGATGGGGATAATACTGCATTAAGTGAGAAACATAGCTGCCATTTAACATGCTACATCTATAAAACTGATACATTTTCTTTGGGCAAGAACTGTCAGTCACCTAGCTGCTTCATTAATGCTTCAATACTCAATATTGCTCTATGGCTGCATCCTATATATTTCATAAGCCCGGCTTGTATTACAAGGTCAAACAGGCTAACTCATCTACCAGCTCCTTATCACGGTCAGGCCACGAGAGACGTCACGGTTTTAAAAATGCACTCAGACAATAAAAGCCAAGCAAAGATGGGACCCCTCACGGCTGTCTAGGGCCCCACACATTCAATTCCTCATCCTCACATTAGCGAGCCCAGCAGGGCTTTTCCACAACGTCCCTACACCTCCTCCCACCTTTCTTCCTCCCTTCGGGACCTCTCTAAACCCTCGGAGGCCACCAAAATGTTAATTGGGCTTCTAATTTACTGTTTCATTTGCTGCTATCTGTAACAATCATTATGTATCAGTGAAGGATCACAGGTCTGTATACAGTATCTTTCCCACTGTGAGGTTCAATCAGTGGAGCGGTTTGATATGAGTTTAAAATTTAAACAAAAGTAAAATGTAGGATGAGGATCTTATAAAATCTGATCCTTATGTGACTCTTTTGCACGTACACCCACTGACCTGACGAGAGGGACCTTTGTATTTTTATAGAGCCGTGTGTCTTTAGTGTGCAGAATTTTAAGCAACAAAACTTAATGCTCCTAGCATTAAAATGAAAGACAGTGAAATCTGATAACTTTCACACGCATTTTGCTCAAAAATAAATGTTTCACCTCGTGACGAGTCAGGAGAACAACGAGGTACATCACACTTAATGCTAGAAACTACCTAACAACATCAACGAAAAGGTCAATCTGAGTGTTGCACTCTGACAAAATATTGGGAAAAAATCTGTAGTAGTAAAACACAGAGTTGAGCCAACCAATCAGGAAGACAATACACTCACTGGTTGTGTTAACAAATTAGATTAAATACAGAGCATAACCAAATATAAGCAGGATTTATCGTCTCAGAAATGAAACTTAATTAAACTTATATTAAACAATAAAAGACCTATGCTAGTTGCTTCCTACACGATACCCAAAAGAGACGTTCTGTGATATCTTTGGACACCGGGAGATAAAATCCTTTGATAATTGCTGAAGAATAGCCTGACTGCAGCTATTACTTCTCAGCATTTCATTTTTTTTCCCCCAAGTTGAACTGAATACAAAAGACAGATGAAATGAGTCAAGTGCTTCACTACGGCGGAGCAGGTGTAGCAAGCAGCTGAAATGACTTTGTCACAGAGGGGAAAAAACGAATGAAGAGTACATCTAAAACCAATGATGGGTTTGAGATCATTCCCTTTCACACTCTTCTGCCACATCCTGACGAGGAAGCGCAGGGTGAGAGAAAGACAGAAGGGGGGAGGAGAGGAGAGAGAGAGACAGAGAAAGATGGAGAGAGATGGAGATGTGCAACGCCAGCCAAAACTTTTTCAATTTCACCGACAATTTCCTGTGTAATTACTGATGCGGTATGATGGTGTTTTAATGACAGGGACCTGCCAGTGACAGTGACATTGTGTGTGTGTGTGTGTGTGTGTGTGTGTGTGTGTGTGTGTGTGTGTGTGTG